TATTTTAACTTTGACTGCAAAATCATGTGTTACAGCTTTTTCATATACCTTTTAGTTTAGTTAGGCCTTCCTCCACTCCCTTCTTGCCTTATGCCTTATCCCCATTCATGACTGAACCATTCCTCCCACAGTAATCTTTCTCCTATCTTTTTACCTATATTTTATGACCTCCCATTCTTTACTGTACCTGCCCCCAATAATTATTTTTTATTTTCCTTGCTTCCACATGTACTTCAAGATAGATGTACAAAACAAATATTCAAAGCTAGGCTCCGCATTCCAGGCCTAGGTGACCTCAATCAATAATTTTTCCATGCTCTATCCAGTTACCTGTACTTTTCATTTGTCTTTACAGATGAATAGCATTTCATTGTGCACATGTACCACATTTTCCTAATTCATTCATTAATTGATAGAGATATGGGTTGATTCTATTACTATTATGAATAAAGCAGCAATGAACTTGAATGTGTGAGTATCTCTGTAGTAAGATGTAGTATTTTGTAAGTATGCCAGGAGTGGTATAGCTTGGTTATAATGTGGTTCTATTTCTAGGTTTTTGAGAAAGCTCCAGATAGATTTCTTAAGTTGCTGAACTCATTTATAAGGAGTCTCCTTTCCATACAGCAATTGTATTCCTAATAATTGCCATTCTGGCCAGCTCTAATATTTGAAAGCAAAAAAGTTGAACTCATAGAACTAGAAAGTAAAATGGTAGTAACCAGAAGATATAGTTGAGAAAACATTATGGAGATATACCTCAAATGATACAAAAATGCTATTTACTATTATAGTAGATAACAATACGTTTTAATTGCTAAGACAGATCTTATGAGTTCTTACTGAGTATGATGAATAGTTTGGTTAGTGAAAGAATTCATACTTCATATAAGAGTAGAAATAAAACAGGTTTTTTATCATAATTTAAAGAAAGTAGCCACCATGGAAATAATAGAAGAACCAGCTTGAGGTGATGGATTGACAGGATCTCCATTTTGGAGAAGTTCTCATATGGTTAGGATGGGTCACTTTGTGTTCAGTTCCTCAGCATGCAATGCCTGCCAAGCAAATGAAGGTAGTCCAGATTGGTAAATGTTAGGTCTTGGGAGGATAGAGAGATTGTGTGTAACTTCCTGCCATGTAATTCCCACCATGCAAATGAGGGTAGCTCTATGATAGTCCTTTGAAGCTAACCTTTGGCCAGCCATTATCCTGCTCTGCATCTCCAATGTTTGAGTGAGTGGAAGAGATTTGTAGGTTTTTAGGGATGCTTTCTGGACAAGGCTTATATTGGGAACCTCTTCCCATCTCTCAATAATGGCCTTCCTTCCACAGTGTGTATACTAGCTATCTTGATTTAGTCATTTTTCGGTGGATACATATTTCAAAACATTATGTCACGCCCAAGCAATACATAAATTATTTGTCAATTTAAATGAATAAATTTTAAACACAATAGCTTTAACAAGATTAGGAGGCTGCCAAGCATAAAACTGACTTTTTAAAATTAAAAAAAAAATGTAATTACGTGAAGAGAAATGTTCAAGGATTTGCAGACAGCATCAGAAAATTGAGAGAAAAATCAGGGTGGTATACATACTTCAGTTTGTAGCAAGACTCTGTAAAGTCTTTGGAGATACAGGAGTGTTCTAAAATGAATTTGGAAAGCCAGGTAAACTAAAAGAGTTGATAAACTTTTGAAAAAAAAAAAAACAAAGTAGGAAGAATCACTTAACAGAGCTTCAATATTTATCACATCATTATAGCAATTATCATTAGTGTGGTATCAACAGATAAATAAACACATGGCTCAATGGAACACAGACCCAGACCCAGCCACTCACAAGCACAAACAACTGAATTTTTACAAATGTTCAAAAATGATATCAATGGAGAAAGGATGGTGATGGAATAACTGGACATCCACTAGAATAAATATAAACCTTGTCCTATGGGGGAAATGACGCACTATAGATTTAAATATGAAACACAAAACTATGAAACGTAATAGAAGGCACAGGATAAAATCTTTAGGACACAGGACTCAACCAAATTCTTTCTCTTTTTTTATATTTATTTGTATGCACATGTGCTTGAAGCACCATCATAGGCATTGGGACATCAGAAAACAACTTGCAGAAGTTCCTTCTCTCCTTCCACCATGTTGTTTCTGGGGATCAAATTCAAGTTTGGCAATAAGCATGCTTACACACTGAGCCATCTCACTGGCCCTGACCTTAGCAGAATTCTTACATTTAACAAACAAAACAATGTAACTGAAAGGTCATGAGACTCAAGACACTCTGGCACTTTAAATTCCTACATGAACAAAACAAAGCCTAATGTAAGTGGTCAAATGGGCTCAGAAACTGTATCAATCAGAAGCTGGGTGTAGGGGTCACATTGCTGTGATCCCAGCATTTAGAAATCTATAGCAGAAAGACTGTGAATTTCACACCAACCTTGGCTATAAAGTGAGATCCTATTTCAAAAATGAAAGACAAGGCAGAGAGGCAGGGAAGTTGGGAAGGAGGGGGGGATGAAGGGAGGGAGGGATACAATCAGAGCCTCTAGGTAATATGCCTCCTGAGAAAAAAAAAATTTGCAAGCCTCTTACCAGAGAGCTTTTCATCATGATGACAAAAATATGAAAAAGCCAATTTATAAAGAAAAAAGAGTTGTATTTAGGTGTGCAGTATTTGGACTTTTCAGTACATGGCTGAAAGGCTCAACTGGAGTCTGTTGTGAGGTGGGGAGCACTCAGTAGAAAGCAGAAGCAAAGAAGGAATGGAGAAGAGAGCCATGGGCCTACAGTCTTCACCATGGGCCATGCCTGGAAGGACCTCCTACTAGATGCCATCTCTTCAAGTTTCTATAACCTTCCAATAGCATCACGGGCTGGAGAACAAGACTTTAACACATCTGTCTGTGGAGGATAGTCTACATCCAAACTATAGTATCACATAGCCACCAAATACATAAGATCTAAAATTTGTTTTTGAAATCTCAAAATAATAATAATAATAATAATAATAATAATAATAATAATAATAATAATAATAATAGGAACAGTGAGATGACTCAGTGAGTAACAGCACTTGACACTCAAGAATAATGACCTGAGTACAGATATCTGGATCCCATGTAAAATCTGGACACCGTGGCACATGTTTATGATCCCAGTACTCCTATAGCAAATGGGAGATGGAAACATGAGAATCCCTTAAACATTGTAGGCCAGGGAGTCTGCGATAGGAAGCATGGAAGAAACAAAAGAGATCCTACATCAACAAGATAGAAAAAGAGAACCGACTCCCAAAAACTGTCCTCTGACCTCCACACCCACACTGTGGTACAGAACATGTAACACTGTATGTACACATACACAGTTTCAAAAGCAACAGTAAATAACAAACATTATCAAACACTTCACCAAGAACACAAAAATAGCTAATAAATACATGCTTAATCTAGAGAGCTGCCCTTAGTGTGCTCTTCTCATTACTATTTAACTATACTCCTCACTTCCCTGACACCATCCCCATCACCTCTCGGCTCCCTTTTCCTCATCACTAGTCCTGTCCTCCTATGCACAGTAGCCCAGCAAGGTACTCCCAACCCTGTGCAAAGTCACACAACCTGATTTGGTCCCCACAGATTATTCCCATCTATTCCATATTGTGAACTTCATCTTCTTATCCAGAAGTCACTCCTAGACACTTAAAATGTCCCAAGTCAGGCAGCTGCTGAGAAATGAGGCAAGGTGGCAAGGAAAAGAGGGGCGTTCAGCCCTTTGAAGTGGGCTGAACACTGCTACAGCAGGGTTCCTTCTACTGCTGCCATCATCAAGCCACAGAGGCCACCAGCTCCTTTCCTCCTCTCTTGTTCTTATAACAAGAAATGGACTAACCTGGAGCTTTCTATTCCTTAAGTAGCAAAGGTTTTCAAACCAATGTTAAATGTGCTGCTAACCTCTAATTATTTCACTATGGAATTTGGGGAAAGCTAGGGAGTATGGCTGGTTAAGTGCAGAACACATTATCGACTTCAGAGAAGGGAAAAGTTAGTGTGGGGTGGTGGTAGTAGTGTGTGTGTGTGTGTGTGTGTGTGTGTGAGAGAGAGAGAGAGAGAGAGAGAGAGAGAAAGAGAGAGAGATTCTATGTATGTATGTGTTATGGGATTTATGTTGAGGGGTATATGTGGTATAAGATGTGTGTGTGTGCGCGCGCGCATGTGTGTGTGTGAGAGAGAGAAAGAGAGAGAGAGTGATAGAGAGAGAAAGAGAGATGAGAGAGAAGTAGAGCTGTGTGTGTACCTGTGCTGTGGAGGATGGGGATAGGCATGTGGTATGTGTGTTAAATGTGTGTGTGTCTGTGTGTATGTGTGTGTGTGTGTGTGTGTGTGTGTGTGGTGTTTGTGATATGTTTCTATGATGTGTGATGGAATAGGGTGGGATAGAGTGTATGTGTGTGGGTACAGTGTACATGTGTATATTGGTGGAGGTATTCAAGGGGTGTGGGAGGTATGTGTGTACGGTGTGTGATGGAGTAGGGTGGGATGGAGTGTTATGTTATGTGTACATGTGTATGTTGGTGGAGGTATGCAGTGTGTGTGTGTGCGTGTGTGTGTGTGTGTGTGTGTGTGTGTGTGTGTGTGTGTGTCCATATGTACATGTGTTTTCCACAGGGAGAAATGTATCCAGAATGAAAATAGTGGAGGGTGGAGGCCTTCAGGATTCTTTGAAACTCCCAGGTGGAACCTAGGTCCTACACACATCCTGAATGGACTTTTCCTGCCCAGCTGGGATATCCTGTGTTTGTCAAAAGGACTACACAGGGAAGCCATAACCATTGTCCTTCCTGAAATCTGCCAGTGTGCCCCTCCCCAGACTGAGGCAGCCGCCCCAAGCAAAGGAAGAGTGACTTTGGAAGTGCGTTATCAGCATCCTCCATGGATTTCCTCACCTCCCGCCCAGCCCCATTAGCTGCTAATTCCTCAGCATCCTCAGACAGAAATTTAGAAGCTGGGACAGGGTCAGCATCCTGAGGCCAGTTGCCTTTGACAGCTTCCTTTCTGGTCAAGCCTGGCCTCTGTACAGCTCTGGGTCCACTACTCAACACCACCACCACGGCACAGAGCACAGGATGGAGGCTCTCGCTGGAGCCATCCACCAGCGCTGGCCAGCCCGGCTGCTGCTGTGGGTCTCAGCGCTGAGCTGTTTTTTCTCCTCGCCAGCTTCTCCCCCTCCTTCTCTGGTACCCCGAGTCAGAAGCAACTACACTCTGGGAAGGACGTTCCTCGGTCTTGATAAATGCAATGCCTGCATCGGGACATCAATTTGTAAGAAGTTCTTTAAAGAAGAAATAAGGTCAGAATTGCCATCAAATTACTCTGAGGAACAAACTGAGCTTATCTCAGTATAAAGATATTTCATTTAGGGGTGGGAGCTGGACGAAGGCATTTAATAGTCATAATGGTTTGACATAGGGAGGGCAAGCGTGGAAGCCAAATTTCAGCCCTAAGGTTCCCTTTGAAAATGAAAGCTGAAATTCTTTTCTATGACTGGAGTAGCCTGAGACTGTTGGGTTTTCCTACTCATTCCTCATAATGGAAAGAATGAAATATATAGAAAGCATACATTGTAAACCATCCTGGGTGTTGACAGTTTGTTCCCATTATTCAGACATTAAGCAGACAGTGGCTGGATTAATGGACTTGGCCAAAGCAGACCTGGGATACAAACAAAAACAGTTTGCTCCAGCACTTCAGAGCCTGTTTTCTGTTGTGTGGTACTGATCTGAGGAAATTCAGAGTTTAGTTCACTTTGATGCATGTAGCTGTCACCAAAAAGGGGGGGGGGGGCATGATGCCTATCAACCCATAGTCATGGAGCATTCAACAAGGCTAGGAACAGGCAGGGACCAAGTGGGAAGAGCCACCACAACTCTACTCTAGGGTGTCAGAAGAAAGGACAGTAATACAAATAATAGTGAGGTTTGGACGTGTCAGACAGGGAACACTGACTACAGAGATATTTTCTGGGGAGAGGATTTCTGAGCAAGGTCTTACAGGATGGGGTGAGGAGGGGTGGTGGGAAGGGGAAGGCAGAACAAGAAACATCATAAACAAGGGTATGGGAGAGATGAGAGGTACTGGTGGCTGAAGCCATGGTTATAAGTACATATGGACAGGGGAAAAGCTGGAAATGACATACAAGGCACAGACCCTTGAATGCTGGGCCAGGAAATGGGAAACTTTGCCAGTGAATCAGTAGCTCCCAGGTTTTTCACCACCTTTTGACCTACACCTTTTCTCCTCCCCACCCCTGCCACCAAAATCCACCTAACCTGCTGCTATAAGATTCTGTGACCAAACAAAAGGCATAAGCAATGATATGCAACTTCTCTATTAGTCAAGCATACCTGTGATTTTTACAATAGATTATTAAAAAGGAACAATATAGAAAAGGCCAATCAAAAATGTTAGACTTTTTATTTTTTTATTTTTTCATTACTACATATTCATTGTACAAAATGACATTTTCATGCATGTGTATTATGTGACTTAGTGGTGTTTATCCCATTACTTTTTCTTGCCCCTCTCTTTCCAATACCCTTCCTCTTCTCAAATAGTTCCTCTTTAGTTTCATTTCATTAATTTTAAAAAAAAAATCTAGATTCCACATATGAAAAAATGTGATATTTGTCTTTCTGAGTCTACCTTATTTCATTTAATATGATGATCCTCAATTCCATCCATTTTCCTAAAAATGACATAATTTTGTTATTCATTATGACTGAATAAAACTCTGTGGGTATGTGACAGAACAACTTCACTTTTATTTTATTTTATTTCATATATATGAGTGTCTTGCCTGCATGTGTGTCTACATCAAATGCGTGGCTGGTACTTGAGAATGCCAAAATGTGGTGTCAGATCTCTCTGGGACTGGAGTTATGGACAGTTGAGCCACCATTTGACTGCTGGGACTCCAACCTGGGTCAGCTGGAGAAGTGCTCTTAACCACTGAGCTATCTCTCTAGATCTTAAGATTTGAGACTTTTTAGGAAGTCTATGTGGACATTTGCTATTAAGGATTTTTGGTTTCCATTTTATTCTTCCTGGAGATGAAATGAAACCACGGGGCCTTTCAAATGCCAGCCAAGTACTCTATCACTGAGCTGTGATCTATCACTGAGCCATCTCCACAAAGCCTTTTGTAAATGCTTTCTAAAGGTGAATGATCCCTAATTTAGACTGCTCCATTGCAGGCAAAAAGCTGGGAAATAAAATCTATGCTTCAGGGTGATCTCATGGAAAGCCACTGGCAGACTGGCCTGGGGATGCTTTTAGGGACTGAAGAACCAGAAGAGAGGTCACCAGACAAAAGGGGGCAGAAAGGAGCCATCTGGATTCAGCTCTGTGTTCATTTTGTTGACTGATGCAATTTGAAAGGAAGTAATATAAATATGGAGACGTTGAATTTGAACTCAGGAATTCCCACCTAGGAAATGGGGTGCAGAAAACCAAGAATATAGTGGAGTGTGCTGATTACTCAGAGAAAGTAGCAGTGAAGATATGGATCTAGTTTAAACTAGGAGAGAAAGAAACTGCAGGATTCCAATGACGAGCTCTAGGCTCCCATCCTCCTTCATCAAGTTCAAGATGTTTTCCTTGCAACACTGTCTCATTAAAATTCAAGATGATGTTCTATGTGTGCCTGAAGAGGAAGTGTGCACATGCACACAGGAAAATATCACACAAGGAAGATTGGTGGGGTCACAGCACTCTGTGCTGAGAATACTGAACCTCAACATAAAGAGGCAGAGAGGATCCTTTGTCTCACTACCTTATAAATAATTTTCTTTCATGGTAAATCAGTAGTTACTTATTTTAGAAATATTATGAAAAATTCAAAATACAAATCATATAGAATTTATTCTCAGGTGGGCCAGACAGACAGATCCATGGGTAAAGTGATTGCTGTGAACTTGACCCTCAGCACCCACATAAAAACTGGCCATGGCTGTATGGGTTTATAACTCTAGAACTGGGAAGTGGTAACAGATGGATCCCCAGAGAGCTTATTAACAACAAATAAACAATCTTAGTGTTGGAAAGGCAGAGACAGGCAGGATCCTGAAGCTCATTGACAAGCCAGTTTAGCCAAAACCAGAGAGCTCCAGGTTCTGTGAGAGATGCTGTCTCAAAAACAAAATTGACGGATGATTAACAAAGATACATGACATTAACCTCTGACCTTCACACATGCATACAAATAGGAGCATCTTCACCCAAATAGACACACACATGCACACACACAAATACATACACATGCACGTGCACACCTGAGCAAAGATCCAAGCATTCTTACATATTCTTAGGAACTTTAATAGTATATGAAGAACATTTGGTAACATGATTAAATATTCTTCTCCATAATTTGATTTTTAATGGCGTCAGGATATCAAATTACATCAACCAACTATAAGATATTTAACTAGCCCACAAGCATGAGACAACAGGATTTTTTTCACTTTTCAATATTACAAACAGTGATGTGTCAAACAAGATTTTGTGCATCTCTCTTATTAATTTCCTGTGCCAAACTCTTAAAAATGGTATATTTGGAAGAAAAAGCTAATTTTCAGTATTATACGTGTGTATATGCTTAAATATCTTCAAATGTGTACTCCTAATTGTAAAGCTCATTTTTGCACACTCACAAATACTTGATATGATATTAATATTGATCAATAATAAATTATATATATTACATATATTACTATTCATAATAATGTACTAGAGAAAATAATATCTTCATATTATATATAGTAGATATATGAATATTTGTTCATATTGTGTATGAAAGGGGAAGGGTACTTATGGCAGGGTTTTAGAAATATTGACAGAGACCCAAAAATTGTGGTTTATGCAAGGGTCAAAGGTGACTTGGTAAGACCAAAGCAATTTTATAAGGGGAACAGCAGGCCTAGAAAGATCATAGTGAACTGTGTTAAGTAACATGACTATATCCTAAGAGTTTTGGAAAGTTAATTTTGTATGATCTGATTTCTTTATGGAAATAATATTAATATTAATCTTTCTTTAGCTTGTATTTATTCCAAGCTTTTTTTAATCTGATTTTTCATGTTTATTGGCCTTTTGTGTTTCTTCTTTATTAAGCTGAAAGTTCACAGCCTTTACCTCTCTCCCTCTCCTCCCACTCCCACTCTCCTCTTTTTCCCCTTCTCTCCCTTCCTCCCTCTTTTGCTTGCTTATTTTGGTGCTGAGGCTGGAACTAGAGCTCTTGGCATGCTCTATCTCCAAATACTATGGCCAGTCCTTTTACCTCCCTCTAAGGGGATAGTTGTTCATCTCTTTCTTGTTTATCTCCTCTCGAAGTATTTCTCTGTTTTTAAAAATTATTCTCCTTGTGCCTCAGCAGAAAGTCCACTCAGGTGCTCAGAAGCCTGACTGCAATTCTCTATCCTGGTCCTTGTGTGTACATTCCAGCCCTGGTCCTCATTCAGCACTAGACAATGCCAGGATGCAAATGACAGACTAGCATCCCAGGCTAGTTGGGTAAACTCAAGATCCACAATTAGCAAATGAATGTACTTTGCCATCTTTGTTTTACCTGTCCTTTGTGATACACCAGGGGCTTCCCATGCTCTACCAGGTGGCCCAGCAGTGGTGGTGCATGCCTTTAATCCCAGAATTTGGGAGGTAGAGGCAGGTGGATCTCTGAGATTGAGGCCAGCCTGGTCTACAGAGTGAGTACTAAGACATGCAGGGTTACACAGGGAAATGCTATCCCCTGCCAAAAAACAATTGGAATGTGTTCTGACTGGTTTTGCTGTGTAGTACGTGTTGACTTTTGCATCTTAAATTTAAAAAAAAAAAATGTTGTAGGAAACATGGAAATTAGGTGGGCCTGACAGACATGATCCTTCTATTGAAAATATACTTAGAAAAGAAACTCTGCATGCTCCCACCAACCAGGAGGATCCTCCAGGACCTGCTTGGTCCATGTTGTATATGAAAGAGGAAGGAGTGTTTTAGTGGCAGTGTTTTAGAAATGTTAACAGAGACCCAAAATATGTGGTTTAAGCAAGGGTCAGCAGTGACTTAGTAAGATCAAAGCAATTTTATAAGGGGAACAGCACATAGTGGGCCTAGAAAGATCATAGTAAACTATTAAATAACATGACTATATCCTAAAAAGCTTTGGGAAAATGCTGGATGGTTTAAGGGTTCAGTGTGGTGCAAAGATGTACAAAGGAGAGAAGAGAAACAAGAAATATTCTGGGAGGCATGTATGACCAGGATCCCTCCTAGGGGTTCTTGGGCCTTTACCAGGACTGATTCATTTCCTCTTCCTCCGGACTACATGTAATTGGCCTAACATCCATAATTGCTACACCTAAAACCTTAAAGAATGTTCAGACATCTCTTACTGATTATTGAAGTGCTTGCCAGAAAACAAATGATAAGTTGGGTTGTGTTATGTTTTGTTTCTTGCTATCCCTTCTCCCTTGCTTTTTCTTTGTCCCATTCACAAAAGATACTTTTCTGGTCTTTATGAACAGATACCATACAAAAAATAACCAGTATATTAATGGAGGGATGGTTTATTGTGCCTTATAGTTTGTGAGTAATCTAATCTGTCATAGCAGGGAAGATATGCCAGGAAAGACTTGGCAGCTTTGTGGCCATAGAAGGGGGTCAGCAGCTGGCTGCATAGCATTGGCAGAAAGAGGTGTGTGCCAGTGCTCAGTTGGCTTCTTCCATTTTACCCTTTTACTCAGTCAGGAGCTCCAGTACCTACAAAGGCACACTGTCATGTCATCAAAGACTCCTCAGAAAATGATAACAGTTTTTTTAAAAAAGTCTCTCTCCCCCCTCAACTCTACCAGTTGGTTGAATGGAATCCCTGAGAGCTGCATCCCTTTGTCACTAATTGTCTGTGGTTTTTCAGACAAGTCACATATATTCTGTCTTCAAGATGGAAATGGGGACAAGAACAGAATACATTTTAAGAACTTGCCTGTGTTAATCTTACATAATATTATTGACCCACTCCCATGAGTTAATTCATAAAATTGACTATATAAGAAATAAACAATGGTAATGTTCTGAGGATTGCAAGCTCTGCTATGTTGAATGCTATTATGCTATTTCTTGCAGTTCCTGGTCAAATATCTTTGGAAACATTATGTAACCAACCCAGGCCTCGGGGTCCTTACCTGAACAATTCATAATGATAACAACCTCATGGGTATAATGAAAGGATCGATTAAGATCGGTGGTAGAGCATTTGCCTAGTATGTTTGATACCCCGTGTGCAACATGAAAATATTAAATAAATTAATATACACAAAGAGTTTAGCAAAGAAGATAGCATACTTCAAGGTTTCATAAATTTAAGTTACTATCATTATCACTTCATTGTAAATCTTAAGTTTCAGGACCTTTGTGAGGTTGGAACTTCATAAGCAAGAGAAGCCAATGAAAGCAGGACTATCTCTGGGCCCTGAGCCCTTTCTAATCCTTCTTAGAAGGGAAAATGGGTCCCCACAGTTGTCCTGAAACTTCTGGTAATGCTTTTCAAGCTCTTTTCAAGTTCATCTTCTTCAATGGCCTTGTGACAAGATTCTTAAACAGAGCCACTTGGCCCTGAATCCCTTGCAGTTTACACAGTTGAACTGCAGAAAGCAGCTTCCTTGTAGCTCTTTCTCAACTGTTAGAGGCTGAGGCTCTAATACAGAAGTGATTAAGAGACCTGCAATTTCCATCTTTTGATCCTTGACCTTGACGTTTGTCTTTGAAATTTTTCTGTCTCTTGCCTTGCTATGAAAATACTAGGATAGAACTGATGGTACGGTTCAGTTATTGCACATTTGGGTAGCATACACATTTGGGTAGCCCTGAGGTTTCTCCTCAGCACTGCCATCAACAAACAAATAATAAATAAATCAATCAGTGGAAAACTTGTAATCTCTTTGAGCAAAGATGAACTATATGAATAAGAAAACAAAACATTATACAGATTGGAGCTCATCAAAATGCTAATTCATTGAAAATATACTAGCTAAAACTCATTATCATGGGCTGACCAATAGTGTTCAACAACAAGAAGTTAAAACTCCCATTCAAGTTCAGTATTTGATATAGTATGAGTCTCACTTGCAATACAACCTTCAATTAATAATAAGGAAGGCAAACTTTTTCTGATTAATCTTTTCAGACATAAATCAAAAGCAGATTCAACATTCATCCATAATGGAAATGTCAACACACAGCTGGAGAGGTGATTCTGCTAGAAAGGGTAACCGTGGAGCCTAGAAAATCAGCAGATGACAAAAAGCAGTGCCTCTCCCCTGAGGAGAATTAAAGGCTGACTGAGCCATGGTGCACAGTCACACACTTGCTCGCCAGATTGCATCAGATTTGATGGACATGAAGCAGCCATGGGTGCCTGAAGTTTGCTTGGCGCTGATGGATTAAATCAATGCTGATGAGGCTCCTTGGCGTTGGATATGGGAGTGAAGTGGTCTCTCAAGTTCAGGCCCAAGAGCCTCTTGGAGAACTGTGTTTTTTGAACCCAGGAATTGGTCAAAGGTTTGGACAACTAGAGTATATAAATGTAGATTTGGTGTTTTATACATCTGATTGTCAACACTGCATTCTATTTTGAGTAAGATACTTTAAGCTCTATAAGCCTCGGTTTCCATGCCTGTAGGGTGAGTATGGAGCATGAAAGGAAACAAAAGTATATAGCTATTGTCTTTGGGCTGGAGAGATGGTTCAGAGGTTAAGAGCACTGGCTGCTCTTCCAGAGGTCCTGAGTTCAATTCCTAGCAACCACATGGTGGCTCACAACCATCTGTAATGAGAGCTGGTGCCCTCTTCTGGCCTGCAAGTATATATGCAGGCAGAACATGTTATACATAATAAATAAATCTTTCTAAAAAAAATGGTGAATGTTTAGCTGGGTGGTGGTGGTACACATCTTTAAGCCCTCAAGAGGCAGAGGCAGGCAGATCTCTGTGAGTTCAAGACCAGCCTGGTCTACAAGAGCTAATTCCAGGACAGCCTCAAAAACCACAGAAAAACCCTGTCTCAAAAAAAAAAAAAAAAAACAAAACAAAAACGCTATTTTCTTTAAATGGGGTCGAAGTTCAAAGAGCTATTCTGTACATTAGGGGGAAGAGGATAGAGGATAGTTTTAGTATGACTTCTTTTTTTGACATCCCATGTGCACTTCTAAGTTTGGTCCAATACAGATAATCCTCTTGTAAAAAGAATTTGGAATAAATCAAAGGAAAAGGTGTGATCTGGCAGGCTGTTGCCCCACCTCTCTGGCCCTCAGCTCTGCTGACCTCAGGCTCACAGGGTTATCCTATGCTTCCCACAGGTTTGACAACTCAGTGGCTTCCCACCTGGGACTGCCTCCTTATGACTTGCCTACTTATGCTGCAAATTACTCAGATGATTCCAAAGCCTGGCGCCCTGTGGAAGTTTCTCAACTTGTCAGCAAGTACCAAAGTGAGATCTCTGATAGGAGAATCTGTGCCTCTGCATCAGCTCCAAAGACCTGCAGCATTGAGCGCATCCTCCGGAAAACAGAGAGGTTCCAGAAATGGCTGCAGGCCAAGCGACTCACACCCGACCTGGTGCAGGTGAGTGTGGGCCTTAGGTAGAATGTGGGGTGTTGGCAGATATCCCATCATACCTCACAGCTCAGTCTAACACCGTAGTTCTCAACCTGTGGGTTGCGACCCCTTTGGGGTTTGAATAACACTTTCAAAGGAGTGACCTAAGGCAATCAGGAAACCCAGATATTTATGAATTCATGATTCATACAGTAGCAAAATTACAGTTATGAAGTAGCAATGAAAATAATTTTATGATTGGGGTAACCACAACATGAGAAACTGTATTAAAGGATTGCAACATTAGGAAGGTTAGGAACCACTGATCTAAGTAAAAGGGAAAGTTGTGGTCTATCTAAAGTGTGACAAAGCAATTGTAAAACAGAGGGGCTTGTGACAAGACAGGAATTAAGATTTTCTCCAACCACTCTCATCTATGTGATCCTCAGTGATTATTTGATAAACAGTCCCTAGCTGTCACCTTTCAGCTGAAGGTTTGCCAGAATGACCCTTACCAGCCCATTCCCCTGACAGAGTCAAACTCATGTGCAATTTTCCCCCTGTATACACTGCCAACCCCCAGGTTCAGTGTAGTGAGCCTCTGTCTATAGAAGCTCCCATATAAAGGCTAGGCATGAAGGCATGTTCCCATAATCACAGTACTTGTGAGGTAAAGGCAAGAGGAGTATGCCACAAGTTAAAGGTCAGTTGAGCTACATAGTGAGACTCTCTCTCTCTCTCTCATACACACACACTCACACACACACACACACACACACACACACACCACCACCACCACCACCACCACTGCCGCCGATTGTGGAAATCGTTTTAAAATTAGGTGTCAGGAAGAGTATAGTGCTGGTCTTAAAGCCACCATTTGACCCTGGATAAACCTGAGCTTTCCCAGGTTGTCCTTTTCCCCACCTTCCTGTTAACAAGGACCATACTGAGGCACATAGCCCCTCATGGCAAGACTATTTCCATCTGGAAACTGAGAAACATTGCAAAAGAAGGAACTTCCTAGTATACAAGGGGACATTCTAAAGTCTGTGGGGATCTCTGCTACCACCATAGCCAGTAGAGTAACAATCTGATCCCAAGGAAGCAAGAAAGTAGTTCAGTTCAACTCGACTAAGTAGTCAGTGTCAGTTCAAATTTCAAGAGTATGAACCCAAGCAGTTTTAAGGCATGAGATTTTTGAGGTTTTTAAGCACAGCAAAATTTGGTGAATAACTTCTGGTGATAACTCAATCCCGTGTGTACAAGAAAGCTTAAGACATAAGTATATTGATGAATACTCTTTGTAAAATATGTATGACATCTTCCAGAAAGATAGGACTTATAGACTGAGAAGCTCACGTCTTGGCCACACAGATAGTGCAAAAGTCACCAGGCTATTAATCATGTCTGCTCACATCCTTCTGGGTGGAAAAAAGGTTATGTGTCTCTCTCTTTGAAGAGGCAACCCTGTGTGTTTAACGTTTCTGGTTGCCCCTAGTGCTTGTCTGAGAACATAAGACTACAAAGAAGGCTTCCTCTGTTGTTATACCAAGTGCAAAAGAGCAAGCGTTCCAGCCAGTCAGGGATTGGAAAGGGAAAATCACATACCCTCCACCGTGTCTGCCTTCCATTCCTTCCAGAACCATCTAATCTGCCTGGGATGTAGTCCTAAATACCTTCTCCTAGGAGAATGGGCTAGCTGGACGAGGAGCTTTTTGACCACTAGATGGCAATACAGAGTCTTTCAACCGCTTTGTTTACACCAAAACGGCTGACAATTTTGTTTCCTAGATTCCATTATTTCTTTGAATAGATAAAATAGGGGAAATAAGCAAATTCACCAAAACACTTTTTAATCATCTAATCAAAATATATTCTTATATGTAACTGCTGAACAAGGTAAATTCAGCTTTGCTTAAATTTAGCTCAAAAATATCTAAGGGGTGTTTACAGGAACTGGAAGGATACCGGGAGGGAACCAGGTCCCAGAACTCTAGATGACACCCCAGTGTGGTAGCAGACTGCACTACTTGCATTGTGATACCAATCAGGGGGTGACAACATGCTCTCGAGGAGATGCAATTTTATATTAGATTCACAGCTACTTTTCAGAATATAAATTTTTAATTCCTCACAAGCCACTGGGTCTGGGACCCTTCAAACATTTCCATGGGTTTTTGCTTGTTTTTTGTTGTTGTTGTTTGTTTGTTTGTTTAAATTATTAGTGTGACTATATCAACACTGAAATTAAAAAAAAAAAAAGCTTACTGCTTTACTGCTGGCTATATCATTTTCACACATGTCTAACACTGGAGTCAAAATTGAAATGACTAGCCCAGCACAATGGGAGCACATCTGTAACCCCAGCATTTGGGAGACTGAAGCAAATGCAGAGTCAGCCTGGGCTCTATAGTGAGACACTATGACAAAAGCAAACAAAGGGAATGACCATTCATGGGCGACAAAAGTCAAGCAATCAAAAGTGTCTTGCCAGCAGTACCTCGCGGGACAGTTTTGTTTCATTCATGAGCCCCAACAGACGCCTCATGAGACTTCTGGGAACCCTTGAGAAGTAATCACTATACTGTTTGTTGCCCACAGAAGTTTTCATGGTGCACTGGAGAGGTGCTATGGTGTCTTCACAGCATGATTTCCCCTGCCAGCTGTGGGATTGCTGATAGTTGAAACAACTATGATTTTAAATAATGGGATTTGTTTGGTGTTAGAATCAGTGAGGCTTTACTACTCACATTTGAAACAAAGAAGTTACGTCAAACAGAACTGAGACCCTGTACAGTGGTTTCAATGAAAGACCTTATAGGCTGATGTTTGCTGGTAGAAATATTTGAGAAAGATTGGGGTCTCATTGGAGGAGGTGTTTCACTGAGGGTGGAATAAAGTGACTTGAGGTTTCAAAAGACTCCTACTATTCCCAGTCTCCTCTCTCTGTCTCTCTTTCTCTCTATGTTCCTCACTCTCACGCTCTCTCTCTCTCTTTGACTCCTTGAAAAATCAAGCTATGAGCTCTCAGCCCTTCCTGCCAATGTCTTTGCTCCACCATCAAAGAGTCTAACTCTCTAAAATCATAAGCCCATTTTCTTTTTTAAGTTGCCTTTGTCATAGTGTTTTATTACAGCAATAGAAAAATAATTAAGCTGGAAGTCAGTGACACAGACCTTTAATCCTAGCACTTGGGAAGCAGAGGCAGGTGGATCTCTGTGAGTTTGGACCCAGCCTGGTCTACAGAGTGAGTGCCAGGACAGCCAGGGCTGTTATACAGAGAAACCCTGTCTCAGAAAACAAGATTAAGACACTTGACCTAGTGATTTCCAGACTCTCTTTGCATTGTGCAAAAGGGACAAGTCAGCCATTCAGTCTCATAAAAGGCTTCCTAAATCATTCTCCATGGACCTTACGAACAAAAACAAAGCAATCATGCTGAAAGGCTTTCCTAGGCTTAACACATCCAAGTTTAAGAAGAGAGAAAGAGGCAAGGGAAGACTAGATTAAAAGTAAACATAAGACAGGTCACAGAGGAGGGAGGCCCCCAGCTGAAGGAGAACTGAAGTGTGGACAGTCAAGAGAGGCCATGCAAGAAGGTCTTGTTTCCCCAGGGCTTTGAACTTTCCCAGCATTTACACATTAATGAACCAAGCCCCCTCAACAGACATCAAGCCATCCTCCATTTTTTGCTATGAAATCCTTCTCCATTTTGATATATTTGCAGTTCCATTTTATACCTCCCATTCAAAAATATTAAATAGGAAATTTCAGAAACAAGCAATTCACAGCTTTGAAATGAGTCTTGTTACAGTATATTTTTATAATTATTGTATTTTTATTTAATTGGCATCAGGATGTCCCTAAAGCATGTCTCTACATTTTCTTTTTTATGAGACAGGGTTTCTTACTGAACCTAGAGCTTACCACTTTGGCTTGACTGACTGACCAGGGAACACCCAGGAGCCACCTGTCCCCAGATTTTATATGGACACTGGGGATCCAAACTTAGGCCCCATCCTTGCACAGAAAGTGCTTTATGAACTGAGTCAACTCGCTAGCTCCACAATTAGTGTATTTTAGTATTGGTTACCATCAACCTTTTACTGTGACTAAATTGTAATTTAAACATTTTTCAGAGTCCTTTGGATATGGGGAGAAACATGGCTCATTTAGAATTACTTTATTTAGAATTGGTGCTTTCTGTGGTTTTTCTTATGCACAGAACAGCTTAGAGCAAACTACATGCATGTGAGAAACAGATGCTTTTCCTGTAAATGTGGCTTGACTCATAGGTCTCTCAACTGGCTGTGCCTATATGTGTGTTCGCATAACACAAAGGCAGCAGAAGCTAAACATTGAAATTATAGAATACTTTCTATATATAAAGAAAGTTACATGCAATAAAATAATATGTAACCAGCTTATATATTATGTTCAAAAAGTGTTTATTAAGCCATAAAATCTCTCAATATATTTTTGGAACTAGAAATATTAAAGACCACTTTCTCTAATCAAAATACAGTAACATCAGACAAAAAGAATAAAAAGATAAAGAAAACCCCTGGGGACTTAACAGCATTATCTTTACATCACAGATTAAAATATTGTAATTGTAATATGGAGAAAATAAGAATGAGAAAGAGTCCATATTGCCACTATGTATATGATTTATTAGTCTTTGCCAAATTACTGCTCAGAGGAAAATCAGAAATCAATGCAGTGTTGTATTTGGCAGCTGTAAAAACCGTTTGGTCCTTCATGTGGACGAACAATACAAACATAGTACATGTTAATTCAGTCTGAAATCAGGGCCACTTACAGTAAACATAATTTTTCCAACTGTGTTAACTCTCCTCTTGAAATATTATCTAGGCTTTTGTGGAAGGCATGATTCCTAAACCTTCCTGTCTGTTAAGAAGTAAATTTATTCTCAGTTTATATATGACAACAGAACAAGATCAAAATAGATTTCTGAGGCCAGTAGGATGGGTCAGTGTGGGTAAAAGTATCTACCACCAAGC